TTTTGGTGATGAAATCCCACTTTTCTGATTTGTTTGGAACATAAGTATCTTGGGAATGTGGCTGCAGTTTTTGAACTTCTTTAAGATAAAATCTCTGTACATTCGCTTCTTGAGATCACCCCAAGTGAGGACAGGATTACGGTAGCAACTGTGAGCTTCTTCACGTATCCACCAGGTATGAGCTTCTCCAACAAGTGTGTCTATGGCTTAAGATAGCCTCTTATATTTTGGAATGTTGTTGAACTGAAACAAATACTCCATGTTCTTCTCCCATAGTAAGCTTCTGGTCCTTGCTCATGATCTGAAAACATGAGGATTAGTGAATCAAAATGATCATGTCTATTACCTTGATTCCATGGCTTGGTGATGGTTAAATGTGTGTGTGTATGTTCTGGTTTCTCTTCTCCACGGTTTAGTGCATCACCAAAGTTGGATTCTGAATCTTCCTCACAACTAATTGTTAGCTTCAGCCTCTTCGCTCCATGATTCATCTTTGTGGATGTCATCTTCTTCCTTACACACCTATGCACTTCCTTCATTAGACTCTGGATACTTTTGCTCCATGAAAGTACACTTGAATTCATCTTTATAACTGATTTGGGGGTCAGTTTCTTCACACCAAGGCTTGTAGTAAGGCTCCACAAACTGGTTCTGTTCCTCTTCATCTCGTCTTAGTTCATCTTCATAACTGAGCTCTGGCACAACTTCTTCATACTCTGAATCCCTTTCGTGAGAATCATCTTCACCTTCGGATTTTTCTTGGACAGATTTATTCTCATAATCTGAGTCAGAATAAGAGGTGCTCCATGTATTGTCGGGTGGCTTCGGATCAATCTTCTCTGACTGAGAATTATCTATAGTTATCCTCAAAATCAGACCACGCTTCCTCTTCTTCTTCTCCTTGATACCATGAATTTTGGTCTGAAGCTTCTCCTTGGTTCCACTCGCCTTCAGAGGAGCATCCATAGGAGTCTTCTTCTCTTGAATCATACTCCATTGCCCTTATCGTTTTACCTTGCAAACAAGACAAATAGAAGACTTCAGAATCGATTTCAAACTGTTAGGGAAAAAAGCAATATGCAATATGAAGAGCAAATTTCACAAAAAGAAAAGAATTAATTAAGACAAATTTAAATGGTAATATATATATATATATATTTACTTAACAAACTAGAAACTCTCAAATTCAAAAAGAAATTTAGGTTTTTAAAGAAAAAATATATATATATATATATATATTTCAATGAAAATTGCAAAACAAAATGGAAAAAATAAAGAAATTAAGGAACAATAATTTTTTTTATGGATTTTCTTTTTACCTAGCACGAAATTAAATCCAAAAGTAATTTTTCTTTTTCGTTTTAATTTATGAATGAAACAAATAACTAAAAATCAAAGGTATATGCAAGAAACAAAATTTTCATATGGATTTTTTATTTATTTATATGAATGGAAACAAATAAATCAAAAAAAAAAAGACAAAGGTTGGATTGAAACAACCTGGGATAGGAGCTTTTAGCTCTGATACTAAATGATATAAGATTGGAACCATTCCAACTTATGATCACCCAATGATCAAAAAATTTCAAGCTTGAAGTGGAAGATTGATATGTTCATAAAATGTATCATTTAGCTTACATAATTCATTCCAAATCATGTCTTATTTTATGTATTTTAGGTCTTTAAGCATTGTTTTAGGACTTAAGATTTTGCATTAGGTCCAAGTGAGTCTTTGCATGGTTTGGAGTTTTAACCAGGTACTTTGGAGGATATTTGGAATGGAGAGATGTGACCAGGTGAAGGAATGGAGTTTAGAGAACCAGAAATGGTAGAAATGGAGTTTTGGAGTTCATTGGCTAAGCCATGTACCGCAGAAAGCAGATCATCGGCCAAAAACGCTTATCGGGTGGAATTTTCTCGGCCAAATGCTGTATCGGATCGAGAGACTATCGGCTAAAACTTTATGCCGAGACAGTTGGGTTCTATCGGCTAGAAAGCTGACCGCAGCAACAGTTCATCGGCCATAACCCGTGCATCAGTACATGAGCCCTGGGCTAAAATCCCCAGCCTCCAATACGTGCCCAAAGATCCACTCGTCCGGGGAGCCTTTCCATCCTATTCAGCTTCCGCAGTCTTCAAAAAAAAGATGGATAGAATTGAGTCATGGTTCCAGTACAGTTGGAATTAGTGAATTCGGAGCAGTGAGCTGAGAGTTATACCTGTCTTGCTTCCATTCTAGACCGACCTGATGTGCTTAAAAGATTGCATGGGATGACGCTCTTCCTGATCGATTCAGTTTTCAGGCGCCTTCATCAAGATTCAAGAGCTTTAAGTTTTCTTTCCAAAACGCTTGAGATCACACGATTTGGAGCTCTGAGCTGGGAGATAACGTAAACGGAGAAGACACAGGTTTAAAAGCCTTTTTGGATCATTCCGGTGCACTCCAAAGATTGGCCGTCCGGGAGACCTTCCTTTCCCCAGATGCAATCATGGTCTTCACCAATGTTGGAGCAGAGTGAGCTATCTTTCTACTGGAGTTAGAAAATTAGTATTCTCAGTGCTGAGAAGAAAGTTATAATGGTTTAACTGCGGAGAGGTCTCTGACACCGAGATGAACACTGGAAAGATTGACATCGGTGTTGGACATACTTTGAGGATTTTGTTACATTGAACCTGACAACAAGGTCCACACCAAGATGATGCACCCCGGTGTTATTTGAGCATTGCACCAATCCCTTTCATGTCCACACCGGCCATCAACATCAGAGAATCACACCTCAGTGTATTTTCTATCGTTTCAACCCGTTCTGCCACACCAACCTCTACATCGGCCATATTGACCTCAATGCTATCTCATACGTTCCAGCACCTTTACAACACCGGACACAGCATCGGCCAAAGCCTGCCCGGTGTAATTTCCATTGTTTCATCATTTTCTCAGCATCAACCTCAACACCGGCTATACTTAGCCCGGTGTAATCTCCATCGTCCTGACTTTCTCCACAGCACCAAGATCAACACCGGTCACATGCATCCCGGTGTCAGCACACACGCCCAAGACAAGCTTCAGGACATCAAAACATCGGCCCGAACATCGGACAGATGCATCTCGGTGTAAAGGTGTCAGCGTTTTTAGGAGTTTTTTTCCGGGTCAACACCCAGTTTATTCCAGGTTGACCCAGAAATTAGGTAACTAGTATAAATACTTTTTAGGGTTTTACCCTTTGGGTTATGTCATATTCCCTAAAGCTTTTTGGCTCTTTTGTGCTAAGAACTCCTTGAAGAGAGATATCTCCATTTTTCTTCTTAAATCAAAAGAGATTTAGAGCTTTAATCATCTTTTCTCCATCATCTATCCATCTTCTATCAATTCTCATGAACTAATCATGCTTATCTACCCATCCTGCAAAGGAGCAAGGGAGATAATCATGATTAGTGAGTAGTCATCTCATTAGAGTTCTAGATATGTAGGCTAAGGTGCTTATGGGTTTAATTAAATTAGCTTAGGACCAGATTCATGCATCTTTGTTCTTGTTAAGCTGTTTTTAAGGCTAGAGCCCTGATATTCACTTGGGTCTAGATCATAGGCATTTCATGCACCAAAAATGTTTGATGAAATGCTTGAACAAGCTAATTCAAGAGTTTATTGTTTGATTCACATGGGAATGTTGTTTTGAGCATATATGGTATATCAGGTTTGGTTTCTAATGCATCTCTTTCATTTGTTTCTTTAATGATGATTAGGTATAAACAATGTTTTTTGAGATTATGTTTTGATGCTTGAGAAAGATTAAAACATGTGTTGAATCCTGAGCTGCTTAGATCTTTAATTATCATTGTCATTAGCTACTTAGTTAGATCCTGAAAGCACCCTAGCCAACTATCATATTTAGAGCTCTATACTTAATCATAACATATTCATCATCATCGTTTAGTTTTCTTTGCTTGTTTAGTTTGCATTTTAATCTTGGTTAGGTCTTGTTTCATCTTTCTTGTTTACCTTTGTTACTTGTTTGAAACCAAAAACTGTCTACTTGCTTGAATTAAGTATAATCTCACATGAACTAGTGTCTAATCACATCCATTATGGATTGATACCTTCTATACTGCACTGATAGAGGGATTGATAACCCAAAGAGCCTTGAAAACTCTTACTTATCAATTGGCGCCGTTGCCATTTGGGTGATTAGTTTAGCATTAGTTACTGAATTTAACTTGAGATCAAGTTTTCTTTTGTTTTACTGATAAGACTCTCTAGTTCTGGCTTTGAGGTTTCAGGTTTATGTCACATACACAGAGAACAGAAGCAGGAGTTGTGAAGCAGCTGAACCCTTTATTGACAACATCCACTTGCTGGATAGAAGAGGCAGAAGAGAAAGGGAAAGAGCTGCTCATCAAGAAGGAGAAGATCATCTTCAGCAGTTGGGTATGGAACAGCATGTTGAACAAGCTGAGCACCAGGCTCAAGTAAATCAAGCCCAAGCTGAGAGGAATGAACAGCAAGCATTTGTTAACCAGAACATGGCACACAGGAATGAACGCCAAGCCCAAGTGAATCAGCAACAAGCGGCTAGGAATGAGGAGCAAGCTCATAACCATCAACAGCCACAACATTCAAGGCGTCAAAAGCCATCTCCAGTGTTTATGGAAGAGAATGACCGAGCCAATGCACACCAATACAGGACAGGCATTCAGGCTCCTCCAGTCCAAAACAATAACTTTGAGGTTAACGCATCATTGCTTAACGTGGTTCAGAACTCAAAGTTCCATGGCCTACCTATGAGGATCCATTAGAGCACTTGGATCAGTTTGATAGGGTATGTTATCTCACCAAGATCAATGGAGTTTCAGTAAACAGCTTCAAGCTAAGGTTTTTCTCTTTCAGCATGGGAGATAAAGCTCATCAGTGAGAGAAGAAATTACCAAGGGGATCAATTCAAACTTGGGAGCAGTCTAAACTAGCCTTCTTATCTAAGTTTTTCTCCACCTCAAGGACAGCCAAGCTGAGGAACGAAATCTCAAGCTTTACCCAGCACAACAATGAAAGCTTTGGGGAAGCATAGGAAGTTTAGAAGCTACACAAACCAATGTCCCCATCATGGTTTTTCTGAGGCTTCACTCTTGAGTACCTTGTATAGAGGAGCCCTTCCAAAGATAAGAAATCAGTTGGACACAACTTCTAATGGGAACTTTTTGGATAAAGATATAAATGCTGCTATGGAGCTGGTAGAAAATCTAGCCATGAGTAATGATACTTATGGGCTGGATTTTGATAGAGAAAACAGAAATGAGGGCTCAAGTAAAGAACAAAGAATGGAGAAAGACATTAGGGAGCTGCAGAGTAAACTTAATAAAGTCTTAGTGGCTACTCAGAAGCCACTACACTTTGTGGGGTAATTTGATTATCAGTCTCCAAGCTTTGACAATGTCAATGAAGAAGGTCTTACACAATAGGAGTTAAACTATATTGGGAATCAGAACAGGTTTCAAAGGAACTTCAATCACCAACCAGAACCTGTCCTATAGAAGCACCAATGTAGCAAACCCTCAAGATCAAGTCTACCCTCCTCAACAAGATCAAAGAGTTTTGTTCCCAAAAACCAACTCTAAGGGATTTATCGGCCTAAGCAGCAGTTTGTACAGCAGCCACAAGGGTATGGTCAGCAGCAGCCGCAGATTCAGGATAATAGCTTCAACAGCAAGCCGCAGCATCACAAGTATCCACCAGGGTTTGGACAACAGCAGCTGAGTCAGCCACAGCCGGTTCAGCAACAGCGGATGGGTTCTGATTTGTGTGGAGTGTTACAGCAGCTTCTACAAGGTCAACAAAGGGTTGAAAGTAATTTCTCTGATTTGGGTTCTAAGTATGAAGTTATGCAACAAGAGATCAAGGAGTTAAGGAAGAATCAAGCCTCTTCCTTAAGACAACAAGGCACTTTACCTGGTAAACCTGAGCCTCACCCAAAAGAGTATTGCAATGCCATCACTCTTAGAAGTGGAAAAGAGTTACCAGATAGAGAACCTAAGCTAGTGCTCACTGAGGACAATGAGCAAGTTGGTGGGAAGCAGCTCAAAGGAGTGAGCAAGATGAGGAGGTTGTCAAGAGTGACATAGGCAAAGAGGTGGAACAAGAGATGGTGCCTGAGAAACCCTATGTTCCACCACCACCATACCAACCTATACTTCCATTTCCAGGGAGGTTTAAGAAGCAGATATTGGAGAAGGCAAGAGCTGTTTTTGAGAAGCAACTAAAGGAGACAAACTGTACAGTTCCTATCATTGAAGCTTTCCTTATGATCCCTCAACTCTGGAAGTTTTTAAAAGATGCAATCATGAATATATCAAAGGAGCTTCAAGGTATGGTTGTCTTACGCCATAAGGTTAGTGCCATCATCCAAAGAAAGTCTATTCCTAGAAAACTTTCAGACCTAGGAAGTTTCACTTTACCATGTTCCATTGGTCATCTAATGTTTGATGGATGTCTTTGTGATTTCATAGTGCTGAAGATGGATGAGGAACCAGTTGATCCAATCATTCTAGGAAGACCTTTTCTGGCCACAGCTGGTGCCATTATAGATGTTAGGGATTGTATGATTGAGCTAAATATTGGACAAGAGGTTTTGAAGTTTGACATCAAAGAAATGATGAGGAAGCCAACAATTAGTGGACAGGTCTTCTACATGGACATTATGGAGAAGCTTTCTGATGAGCTTTTGGAGGAGTTGAACCTTGAGGACCCTCTCCAAATAGCTTTAACAAAGGAACATGGTGAGTATGGTTATCTAGAATATGAGACCTTGGGGTTTATGAAGCTTCTGGATTCACACAAGCCAGAGGGAAGCAGTGTTTCTTTCATGGAGTTAAGCTACAAGGGTCTAGAAGAAGGTCTTGGGAGTTCAAAAACGCCAGTGTCAAGAGATTGTCAACACCGGGGTGCGTCATCTTGATGTGGAAGTGTAGATGATCACCTAAGGAAGGAAGAGCTAACACCGAGGAGCACATCGGCCATTTCTTACCCGGGGTCAGCTGTTTCTACAGCCACAGGTCCGAATGAGATTTGCACAAAGCTCAGCACCGGCAAGAAGAACCTTGATGTTGGACATTTGCACCAGGAGAGAATTACACCGATATCAACATCGGAAAAAACTTACCCGGTTTACATGCTTGAAGATCAAAGGAGCCTAGACTTTTTTTAACACCGAGCAGCATCTTCCAGGTGCACAACTCAGTATAGAATTGGCAGAAGGATCAGTACCGGGCGGGACATCGGCTGTTTCAAGCCCAGTGTTGGATGTTTTTTGTGAAACAAGAGGAAAAGAACTAGCACTGGGGTGCATCACCTCAATGTGGAACCCGGTGTAGGTTCAAAAGACAAAGAAAAAGTGGGTCTTCAAATAGAAATAGGGCCTGAAAAAAGGCTAGAAGGCAACAGCACTGGACCAGAAGCTGATCAAAGGAACTTCATGGAGGATTGGGATGAGACCAAAGCACCCCCTGTTGAGCTCAAACCTATACCAACAGGGCTCAGATATACATTTCTTGGCTCTAACTCATCTTACCCTATGATCATAAATGATAGCTTGCTAGCTCATGAAGAGAATGCCTTGTTTAATGAACTAAGGAAGTTTAGGAGAGCTATAGGCTATTCTTTAGCTGATATTAGAGGAATCTCTCCTAGTGTACGCACCCACAGAATACACCTAGAAGACCAGTATATGTCCTCTATTGAGAACCAAAGGAGACTTAACCCCAAGCTGAAAGAGGTGGTTAAGAAGGAGATACTCAAACTGCTTGAGGCAGGGATTATTTACCAAATCTCTGACTCAAGATGAGTTTCTCCTGTCCATGTGGTGCTTAAAATGGGTGGTATTACCATGGTAAAAAACAATAGGGATGAGCTAATACCTACTAGGATTGTTACAGGTCATCGCATGTGCATAGACAATAAAAAGTTAAATGCAGCTTCAAGAAAACACCATTTTCCCTTACCATTCATTGATCAAATGTTAGAAAGGTTAGCTAATCATCCCTACTATTGTTTTCTTGACGGATACTTTGGGTTCTTTCAGATTCCCATAGACCCAAGAGACCAAGATAAAACAACATTTACCTGTCCATATGGCACCTATGCGTATAGGAGAATGCCTTATGGTTCTATAGCAAAATCTTTAATGTTTTTTTTTTTGTTAATATTTGATTAGAAAATCTATAGTATGTCAAAAATATGACCTATGATTGATATATTCATAAAATGACTCATTTAGTATGAATTTTTAGTCCCAATTCATAGTCCCATGTGTGCATTTTGGTTAGATATCTGAGCACTTAGGCATTATTTTAGGATTTAGGAGTTTGCATTAGGTCCAAGTGAATTTTGCATGTTTGGAGTGTCAAATAGGTACTTTGGAAGTCATTTGGAGGGGAAAAGGTGAAACCAGGTGAAGAAATGGTGAAAGAAGAAGAAAAAATGATGAAAATGGGGTTTTGGAGCTTATCGGCTATTTTGCTTACTGCGGGAAGGTTTTTTAGCTTCTCTCGGCTTAAATCATGTACCAGATCGAGCAGCGTCGGCAAAAACTTTCTGCCGCTGGAAATAAGTTTTATCAGCTAAAATCTTGTACAACGGTACGTGAGCCGGCCAAAACGTGTACTGCAATACATGTCTCTCGACTAAAAGTTCTTAGTCGCCGATATGCCTCAAAGATGTTGTTACCGGAAAGCATTTCGGTCCTCTCCAGTCTCCGGTGTCTTCATGAAAGTTTGAGAGCATTGAATCTAGTTTCCAGAACATTTAGAGTCAGGAGATTTGGAGCTGTGAGCTGGGAGATAATGCAAGCAGAAGAAGCACACGTCTAGGAGCCAATCCGGACCAATGCAATGCACCTTAAAGATCGGCTAAGCGGAAAGCCTTGCCGAGCTCAGATGGAGTTGGGTTCTTAACCAAAGTTTGCGCTGGTTGAGTCATATCCTGTGGACTTGGTCTTGGTTCATTTGGATTACTGAGTTGAGAGTTACTGAGAATAGAAGACAAGCGTATCATTCCAGGTTCAAAAGAGCTTGCTAGATACAAAGTGTTTTCTTGTGCCTCGGTGTAACCCCTCGGTATATCTTGACACTGAGGCACATTTCCGAAACTTTTGGCCATTCCCTTGGTCCGACACCTTGGTCACACAACACCGAGGCATGTTTTTTTCAGAATACTAGTCTCCAAACGACTAAGTATAAGGCTGAGAGCATCTATGGGGTTTGATCTTGAATTTTCCTAAGTGTTACAGCTGGCCTCGGCATAACCCCTCAGCATACACTCCCCCAAGGCCCTCCTTAACATGACCCCTCGGCCTCGATAAGCCGAGGTGCATTTGCAAAAGTTTTTGCCAAAGCCTTACCATGACCCCTCGGCCTATTCCACACCGAGGCATGTCTTGCGAATGAAATGCACAAGCCCTCGGCCTAACCTCTCGGCATGCATGACCCCAAGGTCCTTTGTCATGACAACCCAGCTCACAAACAGCTTGCTCCACGGATTCAAATGCCTTAGCCAAATCAAAGCCAAAGTTCATCATGTTCTTGAAAAGTTCATCAAGCTTCAACCCAGATTTGTGACCCGTCAGTGTGTTGCATCGGTATGGGTGTTCTTCAAGACACCGAAGTCTAACTCCAGCAACCCAACAACACCGGTTCAGTACCCGATTTGTCCCGGTTGACCCGGTTCGGTTCACTTTCTATAAATACTTTCTTGGGTAAAAACCCTAGATATCTTTAGTTCCCCTTATATTCCTTTGCCTCTTTTGTGAAAAAATTTGTTCTTTGTTAAGAGATACCTCGTTTTCAATCATTCACAGCTGTTTCTTATCATTTCATCTTCTTATCTTTACTTCTAATCATGTTTAACATCATCTCTTGCAAAAGATTAGGTGTGTTAAGCATAGTTAGTGAGTAGTCTTCTTTTAAGCTTCTAAGTGTGTAGATTAGGGTGCTTAGATGTTTTGGTTCTAGATTCTCATTTCCTTTCTCTTAGGTAGCTGCTCCTAATGCAAGATCTTTGATAATCACTCTGGTCTAGATCTTAGGTATTTCTCCACACAAAAGTTGTTTTATGAAATGT